GAGAAAGAGTGACTGTGAGAGAAAGAGATAGAAGAAAGAGAAAGAAGGAGGGAGAGAGGAAGAGAGGGAGAGGGAGATATAACGGGAGACATTTACGAAGAGGGAGAGAGAGACACAAATGGAGAGAGAGAATGAGACGCATTAGAGGGAGAATAAGACAGATGAGGAGACAAGAGAGAGAGAGAGGGAGAGAGAGAGAGCGAGAGAGAGAGAGAGAGAGAGAGAGAGAGAGAGAGAGAGAGAGAGAGAGAGAGAGAGAGAGAGAGAGAGAGAGAGAGAGAGAGAGAGAGAGAGAGAGAGAGAGAAACGAAGAGCGAGAGGCAGACAGACGGAGATGAAGAGCCGTTACGACTATATAGCTCTAAGCTCTTACAACTATATAATATTTGGAAGGGGTCAGGATAAGGATTTGGGATGGGACGGGGAAAAGAAATGGTGACCAACTACTTGGACGGTCGGGGGACTGAACCCCGACCTGCATGAAGCGAGACCGTCGCTCTACCGTCCAGCCCAAGTGGGTGGGCATGAGAAGGAGACAGAGAGGAAAAGAGAAGGACAGAAGGAGACATAGAAGGAATGGGACACAGGGGAAAAGAGGGAAAGGGAGATAAGATCAGAGAGGAAGAGGGAGATTGAGAAGGATAGGAGAGAGAGAGAGGTGACAGACTGAGAGGAAGAGGTAGAGGGAGATAGAAGACACAGAAATGATAGAGACACAGAAATAGAGTGAGACAAAGAGGGATAGATAGAGAAAGAATGGAAGAGAGGGAGAATGGAAGTGAGGGACTATGGAAGGGAGGATGTAAGTAGGGATAGTTGGTGAAAGGACGAATGGGAGGGAAGGAGAAATGGAAAATGAGAAGTTGGGACGAAAAGGGGGAAAGGAAGAGAGAATGGGAGGAGGGAAGGAGTGAGAAATGGGAGGAAGGGGAACTGGGAAGGAGAATACAAGGTGGGTGGATGTGAGGGAGAAGGAACATGAAAGAGAATATGAATTAGGTCAGTGAGAATGTGATGAAAGAGGGAATGTGAGAGAAGCAGGGGACAATGGAAGAAGTGGAGGGAGGGAATGAATGAGAGAGGGAGGGAGAGAGGAAGAGGAAGGGAGGGAGAGGAAGGGAGGGAGGGAAGGAGGGAGGGATGGAGAGAGACAGACAGACAGACCTCGGCACTGCTTAATACTCTCCACTATCAATACAAGATATTTCTGTCAGCTAATTTGTCTGTCCAAGGATTTATTACAGCCGTTTAGGACGGGTTACATGCAATATTTTATGGTGATTGTAGATCTTATGGAGAGTCTCATATGGTGATTGGTGTCTGAAGAGGAACTGGCCACTTCACTTTCGCAGAGGAACTGAAATGTTAAACGCAAAGTCCGTAGACTTTATGCTTTGTTTATATATTTGGGCTATTTTGATACATGCAAAAGAATGTTCAGATGAAAGATTTGCATTCTAGGCACATCAGTATAGTAGAGATGTGAATAGTGTAGTGGGAACCGTTATAGTGATAAGAGGTTCCCAACTGAGCCACTCTTCTACTTTCCCCTTCTCTTAACCTGCTTTCTCTATCCAACTCTTTTCTTCTTATCTTTCCCCCGCTCTCCAACTATCTCCCTCTCTAACCTCTCTATGTTTCTTTCCTCTTCTCTGACCTCTTTAACATCTCTCTTCTGCTCCCTCCCTTCTTGCTCCAATCCTCTCCTCATGCCTGTCATCTTCCCTTTCTACCACTCTCTCCCATTCTCCAATCTCCCAAAATTCCCCCCCCCCCCTCACCACTAGCACTCAAGATGAAAAAAACCACAAGGGCCGTGATGACGGTTCGAAATTACGTCCGAGAGGATTCCAGACGCTCCTTAATCGACTGTGCCACGACATGGTTAAAAAAAATTGCAACTGGGAGTTCTACTGGCCTCACACGGAGCCTGCAGCCTCTCCGAGACACAAACCACGGTTTTACACAATTCCCCTATGCACCCGGGCTCTGTCAACATTTCTTTTAACCATGATGTGGCACAGTCGATTAAGGCTCGTCTGGGATCCTCTCGGACGTAGGTTCGAACCCTCGTCACGGCACTTGTTGATTTGTTCATTTGATGCATCACGCTATTGTGATTTCTGTTTGTAACACTTAAGATCTTCCCTTTCAAATATTTCACTCTGTTGTCCATCTACTCCCTCTCTGCCATTCTCCACCTTCTCTCACCTATCATTTGCTTTTCCTACTCTCCACCTGCACTTATGTCTCTCTCCACCCATTCCCTCTCCACCCCTCTCACTATCCTCCCCTCTCTCTCTCTCTTTCTATATCTTCCATTCTCTTTCCATTTCCCTCCCCCTCCTCTCCAGGTTTCTTCACCTCTCAACCCCTCTTCCTCTCAGTCTCTCCCTCCTCTCACACACTCTTCCCCTTTCTCCTCTAATTCTCCTATAATATCTCCATTCACATCTCTCCTCTCTTGTTAACCTTCTCTTCAAACATCCTCCCGTTCTCC